CTTGCCCAGGGTCACACAGCTAGTAAGTGTCAAGTGTTTGGTCTGAGGCCGAATTTGAACTCGGGTCCTCCTGACTTCAGGGCTGGTGCTCTATCCACTGCGCCACCTAGCTGCCCCCATTGATATATTTTTTAAAGAAAATAAAAACCATAAATGGTTCAATAGACTGGACAGAAAAAGGAAGAACTGAAGGTGATACCTTCCTCTTCTAATATCTAGGAGTACTTTATCCCTCTCCTTTATACTTATAGGTTCATAGATATAGAGCTGGAAGGGATACCAGGGCTTATTGGATCCATTTTGCAGATGAGAAAACTAAGGCTGAGAGTAAAATTAATTGCTCAAAGTAACAAAGACAATAAATAATGGAGCCAGCACTTAAATCCAGGTCATCTAACTCCAAATCCTATTCTCTTTTTCCACTGTACTAAGATTATACGTTAAATATTACTTATGTGTAAGTCAGTAAACATTTATTAGGCACCTACTGTGTTCTGGGCACCGTGCTAAGTACTGGGAATACAAAGAAAGGCAAAAGATGGTCCCTGCTGCCCAGAAATCTTAATCAGGGAGATAACATTCAAATAACAACATACATATTATAGAAAAATTGGAAATAACCAACAAAGGGAAGCACTAGAATTAAGGGGGATTGGGAAAGGTGGGATTTTAACTAGGACGTGAAGGAGCAAGACTATAAGCTCCTTGAAGGCAGGAAGAGGTTGGACTTGATGGTCACTAAGGTCCCTTAGTGAACTCCCTGAGACAGGTTGTGTGAGTATTCCTATCCCTGACTTAGGGAGAGTGAAGTGTTTTGTGTCGGGTCACATAGTAAAGGCTGGAGCTGCCAAAATCATCTTCAAGTTGGTGGCAAGGTAGATAGGACATTGGGCCTGGAGTCAGGAAGACTCCTCTCTGAGTTCAAATCCAGCCTCAAGACACTGCTAAGCTGTGAGACCCTGGGCAAGTCACTTATCTGCTGTTTGCCTCAGTTTCCTCATCTGTAAAATAAGGATACACATTGACCTCAAATTGTTGTTGCGAGGATCAAAAGAGAAAATATTTGTTTAAAAAAAAAAAAGGACTTTGCCCAGCGCCAGACATATAGTAAACACTCTATCAATGTTTATTACCTTCCCTTACCCCCACCGCACACACATCTGACCATGTTGCTGTCCTGCTCAGGAATCTTCAGTGACTCCCTATTGCTTTGAGGGGAAGACAGAGACTCCCTAGCTTGGCATTGGAAGCCCTTCGTGATTTGTTTCCAGTCTGCCTCTCCAGACACCCTTTCACAAATTCGACATTCCAGCCAAACCAGCCTACTTGTCCTTTCCCAAACCTGGCATTGCACTTCAATCCCCATGCTGCCTCTTCAGTGCCATCTCAAGGGATCTTGGGCCTCCTTTCAATTTGGGCCCATATAGGAAGTCTCTCTTGAACCCGCTAATTGTCAGGGCCACCACACTGTTCCTCAAATGATCCTATATGTACTACCAAAATGTTTTGGAGAGACCCTATTTCCCAGAGCTAAGGCCCAGCAAGCAGGTGGTGCCCTGAGTTTGGCACAATAATCCTTCCTGCCCTGGAATGATCTCACCAGCGCATTACTTGGGCCAGTCCTAGGTGTTCACTAAGGAATTTAGCTCCTCTTTTCCCCCAAGGCTGTCCATCACATGTTCACAATCCCTGTTCCTTGTCATTGACAGGCACTGAATTCCTGTTCCCATCACAGAACTCTGGTTACCTGCCCTTCAGAGTGCCTATGACTTGAGGCAATGACTGTTTCCACAGGCCCCAAGAACACCTGTATTGTCCAGAGAAATGCTAACCATGAGACTATCTCTAGATCTAAGAACGACTGTGTGGGAGGCCAGCGCCTTTCATGTACATAAGCAGCCTCCTTCTTAGGAGGAGGGCTTCTGTTTGCAAACAGTTTCCTTACTGTGAAGTTAATTAAACTTCTGTTTGTGTCCTGACTCTCCTGTCTCTAGCCCGCTCTGCTTCTTTGGCTCCTGCCACCCACAGGTTGGAGGCTGGTTCCGGTCTGGTTGACAGCGCTTATCTATTTATACCAAAAAGCGCATTGACTTACGAATCAAAGGACCTAGGTTCAAATCCTGCCTTTGGTGCTTACTCCTCGGATGAAGGGGCAAAATATTTATCTCCTTGGGCCTCAGTGTCCTCATCTGTCCCTGGGTCACATTGTGAGGGCTGGGGTTTGATGGTAGATCACAATAACAGCCCCCGGAGTTTGTAGTTCCCGAAGACCATTCAGATCGGTGCTCAAAGCACCCCACCATTCAGTGCTCTGGAGACTGGCAAACATCCTGGGTTACACGCTGGAATGGGGAGTACTGGCAAACTGTGACAGGGGTGTCCAAGGTGACCAGCTGGCCTGCTGTGGGGAGAAGTTCTGTTGGCAATCTGATGACTTTCCATTGCCAAAAAGAAAGGGGATGGAACCCTAGCCCAGTGCCTTGCTGGGGTTGCTACTCCCAGCACTAGCCATTAGATATAATCAATATCATTCATATTAATTAAGGAGAACCTAGGAGCACTACTTAGGGCAGCTAGGTGACTCAGTGGATAGGCCTGGAGTCAGGAAGACCTGAGTTCAAATCTGGCCTCCAACATTTACTAGTTATGTGACTCTGGGCAAGTCACTTAACTTCTGCCTGCCTCAGTTTCCTCATCTGTAAATTGAACTGGAGATAGAAATGGCAAACCACTTCAGTATCTTTGCCAAGAAAACCCCAAATGGGGTCACAAAGAAATGACTGAACAAGGACAACAGCAAAAGGATCTCTATGTGGAGGCCAGATAAGCCCTAGAGCCCTTTCCAAATTTCTTCTTCATGGAAGCTCAGCTCCACCGCCATCTCCTCCAGGAAGTCACCGGACCACACTACACTCACTTTTCTCCCTTGTTCAGTTGTCATTGACCAATTGACATTGTATTCATCTGTGTACATGTTTAAAGAGCCATGTTAATAGAAGTAATTCCTGCTACCCCTGCTGCTGCTACTACTATGAGACTGTAAGCTCCTTGAAGGCGGGAAGCAGGACTGCTTGGTTTTTGTCCACTGAAAACAAGTCCAGGATTTTTATGTAGTGGATAGTTTTTAAATGTTTGTTGAAACTAATGAATGAATTGCTAGTCAGGTGCTACTTAAAATCATTAGCATATTTTAAAGAATTTTGTTCCCAACTATTTTCTTCCCTTTTCTTTTTTTCTTGGAGGCAATTGGGGTTAAGGGACGTGCCCAGGGTCACATAGCTGGTGTCTGGGGTTGGATTTGAGATAAGTTCCTCCTGCCTTTAGGGCCAGTGCTCTATCCAGTGGGCCACACAGTTGCCCCACTGTCTTCTCTTTTCAAAAAGTCAATGTGTCATATTGGTTAGAGAGCTGGCCTTGGAGCCAGGAAGACCTGGGTTCAGATCCTGTCTTTGACACATAATGTCTGTGTGACCCTAGACAAACAGTGCTACCTCTCAGTGCTCTGGGCAGCTCTCTGAGATCCTAAGTTGCCAAAAAGGGGTAGACCCACCCTGGTAGAAGGAGTTTCTTCACCCTTGAGGTCTCCATGTTTATGAAATCACAGGTTCAGTCCCTAGCTTTATTTACCCCTTCTTATCTAACTCTTCCTGGGACTTCAGCCTCATGGGAATCACTTTTCCCTTATGGGGTAAACACCTTTCTCAAAATTAGGAAGACTCAAGATCTCAAGCAATTTCTGAGAAACTTGGGGTTTCAAGTGAGGCTTGGGAGCTGGAAAGTGTTTGTGTGTGTATTGGGGGATTGGGGAAGCCTGGTCCTCGGTCCGGTGCCAGATTCCAGCCAAACAACGTTAGAGCTAGAGAGAGTTCAGCTCGATCGAAGGAATGCTAATAATTGGGGTTGTCCTAAACTGCAATGGGCTGACATATCTAAGGCATTGAGCTCCTCATCACTGGTGGTATCCAAGAAAAGGCAGAAATATCACGTGTTGGGGATGGGAGAGAGGACATTCTCAGATCAGCCAAGGGGATGGACTGAATGAACTGTGAGATTCTGTGATTCTATTTAACTGAAATCAGCAAAAGTATGTACAACATGCAGGATCTTGTGCTCAGTTCTGAGATTAAAAAGGAGTTTATAATCTAACAGCAGGCAGAGGTGCACAGATAACAGGGATACAAGGGAGAGTGGTGTAAATGCAGAGGAGAGGTCAGGGCCACGGGCCAGGAGAGTTCTGTATAGGAGGCAGCACAGCCTGAAGTGTCCAAAATGTCCTCATTTATGAAATGAGAGGACTGGACTATTGACTCTTATGGTCCCTCCCAGCTTGGACATTCTGGGTTCTAAGGGCCCTCCCAACTCTGACATTCTGGGTTCTAAGGCCCCTGCCAGCTCTGACACTCTCTGTTCTAAGGTCCCTCCCAGCTCTGACACTGTGTTCTCAGGGCCCTTCCAGCTCTGACATTCTGTGTTCTAAGGACTCTCCCAGCTCTGACACTCTGTGTTCTAAGGGCCCGTTCCCAGCTCTGACACTATGTTCTCAGGGCCCTCCCAGCACTGACATTCTGTGTTCTAAGACCCCTCCCAGCTCTGACATTCTGTGTTCTCTGGGCCCTTCCAGCTCTGATATTCTGTGTTCTAAGGGCCCTTTCAGCTCTGACATTCTGTGTTCTAAGGACTCTCCCAGCTCTGACACTCTGTGTTCTCAGGGCCCTCCCAGCTCTGACATTCTGTGTTCTAAGACCCCTCCCAGCTCTGACATCCTGTGTTCCAAGGCCCTTTCTCACCCTTCTTCCCAGCTCTGGCATGGCATGGTCCTTGTCCTGTGATTCTCCTTTTCTCTTTGGAGTAATTATGCCCTTCCTAGGACTGCTCAGAGATTATTAGCTTCATTAACTGCTAAGCTGAGGGCATTTACTGGAAGAAAGCCTCTGCCAGACTTATCAGACAGGGTCAGAGCCACCCACCTTCCGAGGCACCAGGGAGAGCTCCCTCCTTACCCTTGCAGGTCCACCACAATCTCAGTGCCCAGCACACACACAGCAGAGGTGGGTCGATCCAGCGACACCCGAACTAGCCTCTTCTGGGCCATTTTCTGGGGCGTGGTGCCAGCCTGAGGCCTTCAGCACTGCCCGTGGGCTGCTCCCTTTATACCGGGTAAATGAGTCAGCAGATGTGGTTTGGAAGTCACTGGTGGTTTGCTCCTCCCTGTTCCCAGCGATGGGTCCTGGGGCTTCTCTGGGCCTTTCTCAGGCTCCCGGCCTGGGGCCAGGTGAGTTGTCATTCAGCTTCTACCGGTGAACAGAAGTTTGATATTAACTAAAGACGTCCCAGCTTTACTAAATGAAAAGAGCTGAATCCCAGGTGCCGCTGGCATGCAGAGTTATCATTCCAGACAGCCCTCCTTTAGAGTCTGGAGAACCAGCACTGAAGCCCCTTTAGGGGTATCAACCAATACTAGCTGTATTAACCAATCAGCAAATATTTAAGTGCCTACTACATCCAGGCACAGAGCTAGAAACTGCCGATGCAAAAACCAAAATGGAATAGATCCTGTCTTCAGGAAACTTACATTCTGCTAGGGGAGACAGCATGTATTTATATTTAAGTTTAATTAATTAATATTTAATATTTAAATAAATATTTACTTATATCTATATTTCCATTTAAGTATAAACATCGCATATTCAAATTAACTGCAAGGTTTTTGGAGAGAGGCACTAGTAGCTGGGCAGACTGTGAAAGACTAGATGCAGAAGGTGGGGCCTGAGCTCTGCTTTAAGAGACAGAGGCAATCCGAGGGTGCTCCAGGCAGGGGGCCCGGCCAGAGCAAAGACGCAGAGACAGGTTCAGAATTGTGGGCAAGGAAGAGTAAGAAGACAGGCTAGGCAGGATGATAGAGTGTGAGAAGGGGACTGATACAGAGTGAGGCTGGAAAGGGGCCGTGTTGTGGAGGATAGAAATGCCAAAAAGATGGTCATATATTTCATCTTAGGGATAACAAGAAGCCACTGCAGTTAAGAGAGTAGGGGAGTGACGTGGTCAGACTTACATTCACTTTGGCAGTTGAGCAGAGGATGGCTTTGGGTGGGGAGAGTCCTGAGGCAGGAGGTTGATCCACCTAGGAAATTCTTGCAATAGTTTAGGGGAAAGGGGGTGAAGGACTGAACTAGGCATGGCTTTGTAAATAGAGGCTTGATACTGTAGTATTATGTTATTATTATTATTATTAACTGGCCAAGAGGCAGCTAGGGGGTGACATAGTGCACAGAGTGCTGGGCTGGAAGACTCCTCTTCCTGAGTTCAGATCTGACCTCAGTCACTTACTAGCTGGGTGATCCTGGGCAAGTCACTTCACCCTGTTTGCCTCAGTTTCCTCATCTGTAAGATGAGCTGGAGAAGGAAATGGCAAGCCACCCCAGTATCTCTGCCAAGAAAACCCCAAACGGGGTCACAAGTGAACAACAACAACCATGCTCTGTTCTCTTCTCTTTCCAACTGGGTCTCCCAGGTGAGCTCCTCTCCAACCCAACCCTGCCCCGTTCACTCCACTGGGGGCAACCTCCCTAACAATGGGTTAATGATGTTTCCGAGTCTCTGTTTCCCTTTAGACAGATGCTCTGGAATGTGTGCAGTAACAAAGCCTTGCATTGCCCCCCAGCCCCCAACTGCCAAATATCATTGCAAGGGAGGGACTTCTCATATAAAGCTTCCTCAGTCTCAAAAGGAGAGTTGGACTTAGGGTTAGAAGAGACCTAGGCTGAAGTCCCAGTTCTTTACTAGGTGCTGTAATTCACTGCCTTTCTCTAAGCCTCAGTGACTTCACATCTAAAATGGGGCTATTATAACATACCATCTGACCTACCTCATAGGGCTGTTGTGAAGAAGTCCTTTGTAAGCCTAAAGTGTTCTCTCCATATGTTTATATACAAATTGAATGTATGTGTGTATGTGTGTACATAGAGAGGTAGCCTTGGAGCCTGGAAGACCTGGGTTCATGTCCCTGAAACACCCTAGCCCTAGGACCCTGGACCACTGACCCTCCCATTGTTCTAAGCAGCTCTGTAAGATTATTAGTTTTAATTTTCAGAAAAGGTGCAGATCTGAATGGCTAGAGGTGATTTCCTCACCTAGAAATTTCCTTCGTCAAAGAAATTATTGGTCCACTTCTTATTTCCTTATGAGTGAATTTGAGTGCAGCATGGAGGGCTCTCAAATTAGCCTCTCCTGGAACCAGAAAGGTCATCCAGAGCTGGAGATGAAAAATTCTATCATCTAGGACATTGGCCCCAAGTAAATGAACCATGGGTTAGCCAATATCAACCCAGAGGCTCAGGAGGAACTCTGCTAGGATCTAAAAAAACCTAAAGGGGGAAAACATGATCATTAAATTTGTGTGATCCATAGTGTGACAAAGGTCTCTGCTTGAATAAATATGTTTACATAGCAGAGATGGGAACAGGATATACCCAAAGAGCCAGAGTCATGTAGATTTCCCTAGTGACTAAGAAACAAAACTGCCTGGGCCCTTCAAGGGTTTTATTCCTGCTTTTTGCTCCAGGGCTTCTTGGCAGCAGTGACAAGAGCCCGGCTATCACTGATACTCACACCCACCTCCAGTTTTCACAGATCTCAGGCTGAGACTTTGGGGGTTAGGGGGTGGAGGGACTATCAGAAAATCAGTTTGGTTCCATTTAATAAGTACTGATTAGGCCCCTCCTATGTACAGTAAAGGCAGGTCTCTGTGCTCAGCAATGGAGATACAAAGATAAAAATAACAGTGTCAGCCATTAAAGAACTTAGATTACACACACACAAACACACACACACACACACAAGTGTATGTATGTGTGTATGTATGCATATACATATGTGCATATAGATAGATAAACCAGAGACACTCATAAAAGTGTGTCATAATTCCATTCAATGACCATTTGTTAAGGGTAACAACATAGTTCTTGCCTCCAAGGACATTGTGTTCCCCTGGGTAATAGTGAACTATTTGGATTGGGGTAAGAGGTCCTAGGTTTGAGTGCTAGTTCATTATCTGAGTGACACTGGGCACATTCATTTTTCTGGTCCTCAGTTTCCTCATCTGTAAAATGAAATGAACAGACCAGATGGCCCCTGCAACCTCTAAATTCCATGACTTTCCATGACCTCTGTGACCTTGGAAAAGTCAACTAACCTCTTGGTTTCCTCATTTGGAATCAAAAGCATTGGAGCCCTAAGGTCTTGTCTCACTCTGACATTCTATGATCCCATAAATAAGCTATAATTCAGTCTTGAACACAGAGGACAATGCCTAGGGGATATTCCAAAAAGAAAGGCAAGAGATTTTAGGACAGAAGAATTGTTTCTAGCTGAGAAGATAATGCTTGATCTTGCTGACAACTCGACCCTTGGCTTATCATTTTTCCTTATTTGCTGGTCAGTCACCAGCCCTGATTTCATTTTCAGATGGACGCTCTGCCTTTGTGCCGGCCATACCAAGATGTTTTGTGCCTTTCTGTGACGTCTAGGTGTCTTGCAAGACAGGACCAGGCAAGAAGCTGTCAAGGGGCAGCTCACACAATCACACAGGTGTGAGAAACTCATAAAAGTCAGGCTTGTCTACACATGTACAACCATAGGTTCATAGAATATACCTTAAAATAGATAATGGTAGGGGCAGCTAGGTGGTGCAGTGGATAGAGCACCGGCCCTGGATTCAGGAGTTCTAATCCGGCCTCAGACACACAACACTTGCTAGCTGTGTGACCCTGGGCAAGTCACTTGGCCCCATTGTCTAGCCAAAAAACAAACAAACAAACAAATAAACAATGGTGGAGGCAGATCCAAGATGGCGGAGTAAAGGCAGTGACTTGCCTGAGTTCTCCCCCAAATTCCTTCAAATGCCTTTAAATAATGACTCTAAACAAATTCTAGAGTGGCAGAACCCACAAAAAGATGGAGTGAAACAATTTTCCAGCCCAAGACAATTCAGAAGGTCAGCAAGAAAGGTCTGTTGCACCAGGGTGAGTAAAGAGTGCAGTCCAGTACAGGCCATGCCAGTGTAGACCAGGTCCTAGCAAACCAGGAGCAGGCCTCAGGGCAACTGAATCAGTGGCAGCAGTGGCAGTTTCCAGACCTCCCAGGCCACAGATGGTAAGGGCATCAAGGGTCTCTGCTGGCACCAGGGGCAGGACTCTGTTTTATTGCTTATACTTGGATCTGGGTCACAGTCCTGGGTCTTAGTCCCAGTGGGAGAAGGAGCACTAGCACAGCAGAGCTTGTGGCCACAGGGGAGCAGGAACACTGGTCACAGTTTCAGGGTTAAAAATAGTGCTTGTGGTCGCCCACAAACTAGAACACATTACAGGAGAGTAGTAAATACATCTCTCCCTAGATCATACCAACTTGGAAGAGCCAAAAACTTACAGGTCCCCAGAATTACCTCTGAAAACAGCTGCACCAAAAACCCTGAAACTTGGGACAGTGCACCCTCCACCCTGGAAGCAGAACCCCACTTTAGCATGAAGTTAAGAGTCAAGAAATGAGCAAACAACAGAAAAAATTCTGACCATAGAAAGTTACTATGGTGACAAGGAAGATCAAAACACACACTCAGAAGAAGACAACAGGGGACAGCTAGGTGGTGCAGTGTATAGAGCACCGGCTCTGAAGTCAGGAGGACCTGCGTTCAAATCCGGTCTCAGACCAAACACTTGACACTTACTAGCTGTGTGACCCTGGGCAAGCCACTTAACCCCAATTGCCTAAAAACAAAACCAAAAAAAGAAGAAGAAGACAATAAAGTCAAAATTCCTTCATCCACAGCCTCAAAAAAATATGAATTGTTCTCAGGTCATGGGAAGTGCTCAAAAAGGATTTTAAGAATCAAGCAAGAGAGGTAGAGGTAAAATTAGGAAAAGAAATGAGAGTGATGTAAGAAAATCATGAAAAAGGAGTCAACAGCTTGGTAAAGGAGGCACAAAAAATGGTGAAGAAAATATCACCTTAAAAAATAGAATAGGCCAAATGGTAAGAGAGGCACAAAAACCCAATGAAGAGAAAAATGGCCAAATGGAAAAAGATATACAAAATTCACTGAAGAGAGGAATTCCTTAAAAAGTAGAATTGGCCAAATGGAAA